ATGAGCCTGGAAGGGCATGAGCTAGGTGATGGTCGAGCGCAATACGGAAATCGCTTTTAATTCCCAGTACAGACCGCAGAAGTGCGACCTGGGTCGAGGCTTTAGCGGTAACATGGATAGAATCTGCGTGATCACCGGCAGATATCAGTCTACTTTCGCAATCAAATATCAAGGAGGTTGGTACCAACTTGAGTGCCGGGACCGTATTTCCTCCGTCAGCTGCCTTAACAGATCTATGACCAAGTGATAGTTGGAGTCCAGACGACTTTGGTATTTGCATATGGTGTGGTGATCGGCATCAAGCGGCGCAGAGATTTCCTTGGGGTAACCTAGAACACCAGAGCTTTTGTCGACTATCTGAAGCAATTATCAATGTGGGTATGCGCCAAGATGTCCTTTTCAATGGGTAACAAAGCCTACCATTCTTTTCAGTCCTGGCGAGAGTCTGGTCTGTTGTGTCTCATACAGGGAAACGAGTTGCCAGGATCCACAAATTCCGCGAAATTGCTCGTTAATATCCTCGATGGATGTCGAGGATGGGTTCAGCTCGGCGACATAAACCTTGGGAGACGAACCAATCACCGAAAGCATGCTGTTGAGAGTAGCCGCGTGTGAGGACCCCCTGTGAGGAGTGGACAGAAACATGATACCATGAACCTTTGACATTAGACCGGAGTATTCATCATGGTTCTTCCCAAGCAGGAGGGCCTTCAGTTCTAGTCAGTCAAGGTCCTCATCATGTGGCTTTCATCATATCAAGACCTTTTTCACAACCAGTCCCCCCATCGAATGTGCCACAAAGACTATGGGCCTCTTTGTTGATAGTTCCATGCAACGTCAGCAATACTTTTGGCTTGATGGAGGCTTAATTGGGGACCTACAAGTCCAATTGCAGCGGAGTCATCCCGACCCTTTCCGTATGCTTTCATCCGAACAAGCAGGCTCTTGGAAAAGTCCAGGATACTCAAAGGAGTTCCCGACTCCCGGAAGTTGGCATTGTAACCAAATGAGAAGACTCTGTATTGAGACAAGCCCTCCTCATGATGGAGCCATGATGGCCAAAAGATGTTGGGATCGCGGTTCCACGACCATGTTTTCCGGGACGAACCGCCCAGTCCGTGAACGAAAATGATATCGCCTTCCACATTGTCTGCGCCATGTATCAGAGTCAAACCCAGCGGGTCCTGCTCAGGTGGTGGTGGTTTGACATGGAAAGATGTTCGGAAATTTTGGAGCTGGTAGCGAAGACATCGTCAGTTGATACCGGCGAGTTATCTCGAAAAATATGAGCTTACGCACCATCTCCGAGAGTAACTGATGTTGCAAAAAGTGTTTATTCCTTCATCCGAACCCGGGTGTTGATCCTTTGTATCTCAGCACCTTTTTATCGTTTGAAGTTGGGGCCTTTGGTGAGAAAGTCGACGCTCGGTGGAGATAGAAGAGGGGCCCGATCCCTGTCGCCCTATCATTTTCAAGTTCGGCGAAGGCACCTCGGCTGCATCTTCATTTCAGGCGCCTATCAACTGGCTCGGATTGGTGGCCTTACCAGCTGCTGGCAGCTGCCATTGTTCTAAATCCCCTCTGTCCAGAATGGCTATGGTAGGTATAATGGAGTAATCAGGTGTTCTCGACTACTACTAGCCTAATATAAACTTGTCGCTGATGACCAGGTTAGCTCTACCTCAAGCTGTTAGTAGCTAAATGCTGACACCTGTTATCTCCTCTCTATTACAAAAAGTCCACAATAAGCCTTCTGCTCCAAGCCCCCGATGACCCCCCATCTTACCTGTGCTGACCATGACATGATTGATGTGATAAGAAGACTGTCACGAACCCACGTGATTACGTGTTAAACCGGCCAACACAGTGATGGCGCACGGTCGGTAGGTGTGGGGCTGGCTTGGGTCCCTATTGGTCAAGTTTTTTCAGCCGTTCAAACGACAACAATTGAAACCGAACAGCCCAGTCGCCACCCAAATCAATCGCGTCAATCGCGTCAGTGTTGATTATTTCTCCCACGATACCATCGGCATCCAGTCCATGCTCAATGGCATTTTCAGAGTACAGGCCCATTAGCGACTGATTGCAACATGTCGACTACGGTCTCCCAACCCGCGAGACCCTCGCGTTGCACTGTCGCTTTTGTTATTCCACCAGAAGTAAGCGCCCCCGCACCACACCTTGATTCGGCAGACTCATCTGACCAATAGACCGACAGCTCCTAGCCGCGGTACCCAGGGTCGCTTCTCCTCTCGTCCGCCTGCCATCCGAGCTGCTCCTCCTCATCTTTTCGCACACGATCGATCCCTTGGATCAGCTCTGCTTGGCCCTTACCTGCAGACGTCTTCTCCAAGTTTCTTCATTCCTCATTGTGAAGATACCCTCCGTGGCGAAGCACAGATACCTGACCTCGCGGTCCTGTTGTCAAATTCTCCCATTGCTGAGAAGGTTGGCCCCCGTAGATGCGCGTGGGAGGCCAAGGCGAACATCGGCTCTCTGTTGCGATTGTTTGTGGTACCGACCTACCAGGAAGAGTTACTGGACAAAAGATGGCGACCGATACGCTGATATGGAGCCGGGTATATGTGCGCAAGAGATTTGGGACGACAGAGTATCGATGTGGACATCCAGGTACTCGTTTCAATGTCCAGCATGTTGGCTCAAAGAGAGAACGGCGATACTAGAGCAGGCTCGCAAATTTCAGCACGCTGGCAAATATTAGTAGGCTGGTAAATTTCAGTAGCCTCTATCGTGAACTATTTCGTTTCTACCACCGACTACCGGTGGCACCTTGGGGATTCAGTTCAACATTAACACCATTTCAGTCCAAGACCTTGAAACAAGCGATTTTGTGGCCCCACCATCTAGGAGAGTAGATACGTCATACTTCTCCCTGGGATGGGATTATGCTGGGATTGACAGGGCTGGATGCTCAGAGAGGGCCGAGATAGTTCTCAGACAATGGAATGTTTGCATTGAGCTTTGATTGTTGAAGGAAAGAAACAGTTGCCTCTTGATCGATACCGAGGTAACTGGAGAAGAGAAGACGGGCACTCACCGGTATGCTTGACCTTGCCGGTGTCAACGAGCCTTTCCATGGCTTCCCAGGTAACGTCGAATGTGCGGGACAGTTCGATGTCGATGACCGGGTACAACAGATGGGAGTTAGTTGATGATGGAGCTAAAACTTGGGTTTGATCGAGGAAGAGTTTGCCTTTCCCTGGGTATTACGTTCGGTGCTATAGTTGGCGGTTTTCTTGTATGCATACGGGACTTATCAATAGTGTAAGGGATGGCCGCGGAACCAATGAGGACTCAAGTTCTTACAGTGCATGATGAATATGTCCACTGCAAGTCAGGACAGGGTGTCAGCACTCCAATCACAGCAGGGGCATCTTTGCAGAGAATAACGATGACAAGCGTACCATAATCCAATCCCAGGTTCTTTAGACTGATGTCGAGGTTGACTTCAACATCATCTGGCGCGTGGAAGACATTCTCTCTGACACATCGGTCATTGTTAGAGAACATGGCGAACGCAAATCAAGTCAACAGTGTTGGCATACAGCTTCGTGACGACAGTGATTTCTTCCCTCGGGACACCACTTTCACGGATTGCCTCACCAACCTCCCGCTCACCCAGCCCATCACCATATCGCAGAGACGTATCAATGTGCCGATATCCGACCTTCAACGCGGTGAGCACGGATTGCTTAACGCTCTTGTCGGGACATCTGGCGGGATCCGGCTGGAAAGTCCCGAGTCCTCTGCCGGGAAGTTGTGCCCCGTCTTCCGTGATTTGAAACGAGGCAGGTGGGATCATTGTGCTCAGTGTTTCCTGCTTGTTGGTCAGAGATCTACGGTTTGTGGAATGTCTTCACTGCCCGCAGTTGGTGATGGATGTGAAAGCAGGTTTGCGAAGGAGGGGTTCAGTGCGGATATGGAAGCAGCTGCGGTCTTGGTGCCCGTTGTTTGCGCCTCAGGGCGGCTGCAGGAGACATGCATCGACCCCGCTTTAGATTCACCCTGCAAATCTACATCATGGGTACCTTGAGGAAAGCCTGACCACTGATTTCATCGATTTATCGACCGCCTAATTCCGCTCAATAACCCTAGCTTGACCTGTACATGACCGTTGACCCGCTCATAGTGTCTGCTCCTGGTCCCTCGAAACAAAGGCGTGGAACAGTTGCCTGACCTCTAAATCTGGATCATCTCGAGAACAAGATCAACGTTCATTGGACTCCTAGCGGTGAACCTCCGACGTCAATACCAGTGCCTCATCCATGATTGCTTAAACTGTTGCCAGGATCATGGCAGCTGCCAAAACAGGAGGAAATATCATCCTCGTGTCTAGCCAACTTTCCACAACCCCAATTTGGGTACAGCGCTTCCAAGGCAGCTGTGATTATGGTGAAGAGTTGTCTCGCCGTCGAGTGGCTCAGCACGGCATCCGAGTCAACACTATCAGTCCAGGCTACGTGAACACCATTCTCAACGAGGGAGAGGGGCTGGATGACGCCAAAAGGATATAGTTCGACAAGAATCCAATAGGGGGAATTGGCGAGCGAGAGGAGCTGTGTGGTGCTGTGGTGCTTCTTGCGAGCCGAGCTGGGAGCTACATTACTGAGCGGGATATGGTTGTGGACGGCGGGCAATCGATGTTATAGACGGCACTTCCCTGCTACAAAATTCCAGTTAGTAACTTCCGGAGAACAATTTTAACTCAACCGTCTTATTCAGCCTGAGCTTAGGGAGTCTCTAGTTATACAATAATTGATGTCCAGCCGAAGAGACTTCGCGTATGGCCGTTTCCCAAGCCCAAGGTGTGCAAGGGCTGGGTTTAGCGCCGGCCGGCAGGCACCTCTTACCACGTGGCTACCTGGAGGCTTGAAGTTACCGCCTTCCGCCTGCTGACCTGCAGTGTGCCCCCACTGTACATGCCAAGTGGCGTGATATCCCCAGCGTCCGCCAATCGATGTCACCATGGATCGAGAAACAGTCCCGTGGTCTAGTGGTTAAGATTTCGCTCTTATACCATTCAGTCCTTTTCATGAGGGCTAACGGTCATAACATGCGACTACCCGGGTTCAAACCCCGGCGGGACTAAGACTTTTGGTTTTCTTTTTGCAACAGCTTCAGCCACCACACCGTCGAAACCTGAGGCAGACGCAGGCTGTATTTTATTAATTATTATGCACATCATCTGATTCAACAAATATTTATTATCGCGTTCATGTAATAGGAGCGAACACTACCTAAGCATGCCTCAAACAAAGAAAACATAGTAAGACCCAAAGAAATAAAGCAGAGCAAACAAAACAAACGACCAAAGTGTACGCCCCAACCCCTAAGACCCGTTGGCCCAATCCCATCAACCAGAGCCCCTCTGCCTCCTCTTCCACTGGTCCTAACATCCAAATCCCCAACTTCAACCACATATGCACACCGTTACATCCCAGTTTGGCTCTTATTCCTAGCCCTCTGCTCCGCCGCCTGCCTCAACACCTCCTCATGATACAACGTCGCCCCGGTAGTAGCCGCAACCCGCGTAAAATCCTCGCCCAACTCCCCCGTGGCACCACTGCCCCACCACTGGAAGAAGTAAACGGCTCCTCCAAAACCCCGAGTCCGGGAGAACGCCCAAGAAGCTACAATCTCGCGTCCTTGCTTATCATATCCGAGAGGCGTCCCTTCACCGTCCTTCCCCACAGGTTGCACAGCGCGTCCGGTAACCCTTACAAGAACCCACCCCATCACCATGCTGACCAACCTCCCCGTCTTTTCCCTCTGCATACCCGTCTTCACAACCGGTGCCTCTCTCTTGCAAATAGTCCTCAACTCCTGCATCCAAGAATCACCCTTGATCCACTCAAACCCCTCCTCCCTTCCGTTGACTCTCATCCGGAACTGGTGGGTCTTGTTTGAGGTCTGGGGCATGTCGATGCACTCGTCGTTGCCGGCTTTGCGGTGGAGGATGATTTGGTAGTTTTCCCAGCCGCGACCGGGGGAGGAAGTGAATTTGACGTTGCCGATTTGGGTTGTGGTTGTCCAGCCGGACTTGCGGTGCTGGTGCTTGTAGACGGAGACGAGAGCGGGGGAGTTGTCTTTTTTGTGGGCGGTGGAGTGGAGGGAGCAGCGGAGAGAGGAGCGGGGGGAGGCGTGCTTGGAGAGGAAGTGGAGGGGGGCTTTGTAGTTGGAGCCGGTGATTTTGAGGCCGGAGGGGCCGGCGGTGCGGACGGCGAAGCGATTGGGGAGGTGGTGGGGACCGGGGATGTCGAGGGCGGGGGCGGGCTTCATTTTGGTGGAGTTTTGGGGTTGATACTGGTAAGTGATGAGTTTAATTGTGTTTTTCTTGAGGCATTACAGGATTGAGGAATGATCGGATGGTTGGGGATGACTTCATGTTATATCCCATCTTCGAAGTCAAGAACGGGACATATGATGGAGTGGTTCGTGTGCGAGACCGACAGAATTCCAACATTGTTTCGGGAAGCGGGTGCGGTGGTTGATGGCCGAGAAGCCCTTGCGGCAGACCACAACAACATACCTTCCTTTCTTGTTGGTAACTTGCAATGTTCGGGTTAGGAAGTGGGCCCTTGGTCGGTGGTGGTCGGGGTGGGGCCGTATTCACGGGCCGAGGTGGATACCCCTACACCACTCGACCCGGCCCAACGACACAGTTCAGACGGTCAAGCCGTAAGGATCTGTGTTAGGCCTGGGGTCGACCAAGTTCGGATTTGGCAGAAGAATGATTTCGCCAGATGCAGAAAACTGGATTTAGCTGAAGCCTGGAAGGAGTACTTGCATGCGGCAGCATAAAAGTTCGCACTGCTATGACATGAAGGAATTACCGCTGTCTTACCGCCCCGTGCATTTTCAGTGATCCCAGGCTACATCAGGTGGATTAGATACGCCAGGAACTGCCCATGATTCGAAATTTAGGATTCACATCATGACACTATCCAGCATGTCGTCCAATTCTATATTGCCTGGCAGGCTATCTTGGCTGGCAGGCTACCTTGGCTGGCGTTGATCACAAACCGAAAGCCTAGATTTCGGATTTTCCAAGACGCGCAATGCGTTGACGTTGCTTTGCTTGTCGCTAGTACTGTCTGGTGACCGACGGGGACGGCAGCCTGGAAAGATTCTGTATGCACTAACATGTGTGTAGCTCCATATGACATACGTAGTTTGTAGGTTGCATTCGCCTGCCTAGCTGCAGCCCTACATGCGGGGCATCGCTGCGTCAGCTCCGAACCAGAACAACGACTTTTGCAATACCTAAGTATACCTCAGCAAGGTGTGCAGCCAAAATAATCTTAACACTACATCGAGAACTACAACTAATATGATCCCAAAACAGAAGAGATGTCACTCGACATGAAAAGCCAGTCTACCGGGTCGATGGAGATGAGGGAGGAGAGCGGGGAACAGGGGAGACATTGTTTCATGAAGGAGGTTTACCGGCCGGATATCACCACCATATTTCAGTTGGGAAAGCGTTTGGCGTTCAGGAGGTATTGCCAAAAAGAGGGGAGGGATGCGACCCAATACGCGATTGATTTGGTGGCGCATAAGTACCCGCTGTTGACAGTGCTGGAGGTCAATCTTGATGGGAAGGATAAGTCGAGTTTGTGGTTGGATGGGTTTGGGTGTCCGAGGTCATCAATCAGGGCTACTTGTTCGGGGTATCACTTCATGGTTGCGGATCCGGAGACGCTTGTTGCTGTCCAAAGTCAATACGCCAGCCGAGCACCACGGGGTTCGGAATTTGGGCTGTTGGACATGACAGCAGGAGTTCCAAACTCTGCTGGGAAGTTCGATCTGGTGATTGTGAAGGGCATTCCGGAGGACAAACGGGAGAATGTGAAGCTGTTGAATAATCTTTGTGGACGGGCCAAAGAAGGGGGCTTTGTTCTGTCGGTTGGTGGGATGCTGAGGTACATGGCACCGGCTTATGGTGACGACCGTGACGGTCGACCACTTGGAGAGGGTGTGTATCTCCGCTATCTTCGGCCCAAAGCGACAAGCCCACGTCCAAGGATCACAATTGTGCGTTTCAAAGATACGCCAGCGCTGGACGATCTACAAACCGTTCTCGATGTTCTGGAAAAGGGTACCGGCCCGAGATGGTACTTCAACAAGGACACAGACCCTGGACCCAACGACCCAGTGCTCGTGCTAGACGAGATGGCCACTGATATTATGACCGATATCGACTCAAAGCAGTGGGCTATCCTTCAGTCGCTGATTCAACAACAGAACAAGATCCTGTGGGTCACTGTTGGTGCAAATCTCAACGTCACCAACCCCAACCGTGCAGCCATCACAGGACTATTCCGTTCCATACGCTCCGAGGATCCAACCGCCCGTCTCATCACTCTCGATGTTGAAGATTCTTGGACCGTTGAAAACACAGCGGCAGCAATAAGCACTTGCCTCAACCGCCTCACTGACTCACCATCCTCTCCCGCCGGCGCTTCAGATTATGAGTTCGTCTCCCGCGAGGGCATGATCCATGTTGCCAGAATAGTCCCTGATCCAGACTTGAACTACCCTCCTCGCCCCAGAACTTTCGATATTCTCACCCACGACAAGATAGTCCAACTCGGGGTTCAAACAATAGGAGACATCGACTCGCTGGTCTGGTCTGAAGCCCCTCGCACCGCTCCCCCAGCCGGAAACGAAGTGGAAGTACAAGTCTACGCTGCAGGTCTTAATCACAAGGACTTGCTCGTCACAATGGGCACCATGCCTGGGGACCAACGAATGCTCGGCGGAGAAGCAGCTGGATATGTTGTTCGTGTAGGAGGTCCCAATACAGGCTTCCGACACGGTGACAGGGTTGTAGTCTTCAGCGGCGGCGCTATCGCCAATAGGATTATCACGAACAAGGCCAGGGCGCACCGCATACCTGACTGGATGAGTTTCGAACAAGCAGCGACACTGTGTGCGGTTTACTTGACGTGCATGCACGCTTTGCTGGGTCTAGCCGACTTGAAGAAGGGGCAAAGAATACTCATACACAATCCTGAGAGTGGTGTTGGTATTGCAGCATTCCAGTTGGCAAAATATGCTGGCGCTGAAGTGAGTGGTTTACTTGTTTCGTGAGCCCGTTTTGTACCTGACATGCGGCCTTACTTGACCCTTTTCCTCGATGACTGATACAACCCAGATTTTTGCCATGGTTTGTACACCTGGAGACCGTGAATATCTCATGTATCACAAGGGGTTCAATTTGCCAGAGGATCACATATTCGACTCCAGAACCACCGAGTTTGCGGAACAGATCTTGCAAGCAACCAACGGGAACGGGGTTGATGTGGTCTTTAATACGACCACAAACGATATGCTGGACACCTTCTTGCGTACCCTTGGCGACGGGAGAACAATCATTGAGTTGGGCAAGAGAGACATCCATTCCAGCAGCAACCTCCCCGTGAAGCCATTGGACAGGAATATCTCCTTTTATACCGTCGACATGTCTCCTGAGCAAGCATCAAATGAAGTCGTGGCCGGGCTAATGTCGAAGATGTTCCATCTAATCAACCAAGGGCACATCAGGCCCATCACCCCAATGAAAATCTTCCACTTTACTGAGGCCCCCTCCGCTCTTCGATTTCTCAGTGAAGGTAAGCACATCAGCAAGGTGGTGCTATCAGTCGGTGGCATCGCAAGCCGTCCAGCAAACCCCTCTCGACCGTTGTCCCTATACGATATCGCCTCCCATCTCGTGAGCCCCATCACCAAGTACCTCCCCTCACTCCCGGTCCCAGCCATTCTCACCGACCGTAATCCTCCTCCACCACCTCAAAGTCCCAGACCTAGAATAACCGTCCCCGTAAGTCCCTCCATTCGTCCTCTTCTTGACCGTCTCACTAACCTGTCCCGTGATACCTAGTTCTACCCCTCTCCCCCAAATCTCACCCTCTGCCCTAAATCCTCCTACCTCATCGTCGGCGACCTCAAAGGCATCACCGGAACCCTGGCTCTCTTCCTAGCTGAACACGGCGCCCGCCATCTCACCATCATAATCCAGCCATCAAATACCTCCGACTCTGTATCCCAGTCCATCATCACCCAACTCACATCTCTAGGCACCAATCTTTCTCTCCCAAACTGCGATATCTCCTCCCTCGAACAACTCCAATCTACCCTATCCAAACTCCCATATCCCATAAAGGGTGTCATCATCCAGTGCACGATACCTCCCCACAACCACGACCGCGACTTCCCTTTTGAACTTATGACCCACGAGCAATACACCGCTGCCATACAGCCGAAGATAACTGGGACGTGGAATTTACACAACTTATTCCCCAATGTGGATTTCTTTGTCCTCTTACGGAGTTTGTCCGGCGTGCTTGGGACGAAAGGGCACGCTCATCATGCCGCGGTGAACACATTTTTGACTAGCTTTGCTGAGTACAGAAGGGGGTTAAGCATGAAATGTTACGTGGCTGATCTAGGACTTTCAGAACCAGCGGGGTTCACTCCCCAACGGGAGGGTTCTCAAGAGAAGAATTTGGATAACAGGGGTCAAGGGGGCGTTGATGAGGTTTTACTACGGAGGGTTTTCCATGAGGCTTTGGTGGGAGGTAAAGGGAGGATTATTACTGGTTTAAGTAAGAGCCAACTGATGGATAAGTTGTTGAGGAATGATGCGAGGTTTGGGGGTCTTTTAGCGGCGGGTGGGGAGGTACGAGGTGGGTGTACTACGAGATTGGCTAGTGGTGGTATTGGGAATGACTAACGGGGGTGAAGAAGCTGAAAAGCGGGCTGTTGTTGGATATTAAACAACAACGAAGTGTATTATAGCTACGAACACTACCTAGTAATGATCAATTGATTAGCAGGAGGAATTTGTGAAGGTAATCATCCTTATAAAACCCGTCCATATCAGTCTTATGGTTGTGCCATCAAGTCGCTTGATCCTGCCCTTTCGAGTTCACAGCTTCGACGTCACTGGTCCCGTCGTTTGGCCTTGGAAGCGGCACGCTCTCATAAGCCCACGGCCAGTCCTCTTCAACCTCGTCTCCGTTTTCATCCTTCGGCGCAGGCCAGACATGCCTAAACACTCTAAAAGCAAGGCAGTTTTTTGCCCGTTCAGGTGTAACTGGGAACTTGCCATCATCATCCCACCCTCGTTTTGTTCGCCCACAATCTACAACAGTGACCTTTTGTCCTTGCTCTTGGTCACCGTGCTGTGCCATAGCCACGGGATTTCTGGTGACAATCCACTCTCGCTGGAGGTTGTTGAGTATCTGAATCATTGACACGCATGGCAGGTGGTCACTGTCGCACAAGATTTCGAATCGGCGAATCAATTTAGTCTGAAGGTCATTTTCCGCAATGTTGGGATCCACCACAGTCCTGAGCCGCTCGAGCATAGGCGCACCCGACGCGACAATATCAAAGATAGACCGCACCAACTTGTCGTCTATGGCGGACTTTCGATAATAATGGATCAGATGCCCATGCTGAGCCCTGACTCGGGCGAAGCGGGGAAATGAGCCGATGTACATTTTTTTAGTAAACCATTCTCGATCAAAGTCGGTGTATCGGTCATCGTCTGGTGGCAATGGCGGTAGACATGTGTATCCGCGTCCGGGCTTGCTCACTACCGGGAAGTCTTGGTTTATGTTTACCACCAAACCAATTTCGAGACGCCGCAATTTTCGAAACCGACTGAGCTCCTCATAGACACGCGTTTCCTCCACATTTCCGTCACGACGAACGGGCAAGGTTAATTCCTCGATAATGGGACACATTTTGCAAATCGAGGCGACCTCCCTAGAAGATAAAGCCGTATTGAAAATGGAGAGCCTCTGAAGCGTTCTAGGCAAGCTGTAGCGGGCCTTGTCAAGATTGCACATGCGGAGGGAGGTAAGAACTGGCATAGATCCCAAAAGCCGGCTTACCATGTTGTCCCACTCTCTGCGACTGACACCACCCCGCTCTCTTGGACAATCTAGGCGGGGAATCACAAGTGATAGACAGGTCAAGACCGGAAAGGCGCATTGAATAGCGAGAAAGGTGAGGGCCTGGTGGCTGATGCCAAACTCGCTATCGAGCTTGAGAACTTGGAGACGGGAGAAGTCGATATGCCTAGCCCATTCCTGCATGTGCCAAGCTGTGACATCGATCCTGCCTTTCAATTCTAGGCACCGAAGAAATGCCAGCTTAGCTGGCAATCGTGCGTCGTTTGGTGTCTCAGCTACTAGACATTGTTGAGTTAGACTCTGCAAGTCGGCCGGCCCTTTGGGCTCAGCTGGTGCCACGAGCATCTCGCGACCGTACTGAGAGTCCCCTATGGTAATTTCCCGAAGGTTGGTCGCAATGGATGCAATCTGCATTGTGAGCCCGATCGACCAGCTCCAATCAGTCTGTGCCTGGATCTTGTAAAGGCATGGAGATGAAAGAATACTTTTCTCATGGGGTGTCAAAGTTCTGAGCTTTGTCGGAGTGTAAGAAGGCAAAACGTCCCCAGGAATGACAAACTCATTGAGATATAGTCTGCATTTTGGGCCCCGCTGGTGAATGGCCTCAAGAAGACAAGGTGGAAACTGCTCGAGGCAGCTGAAGTGAACTTGTGCCAGACCAGGGAGACGTTTGATCAGATCCGCGAGCGGCATCCACGCCCGGTTCGCCTGTTCGTACCAAGACCGATTGTTGTCATGGATTGCCTCGTAATATGCTATCCGTAAACCCTTGTCTTCCAGTTTGTTATCCCGTAGCCAATCGAAGTGGGTGTGATTATCGAAGTACCATGGCTTTTTCATATCCATGCTGTCTGGTATCAGGTTGTCAACCTCGAGAAGGGTCTCAGAAAGGCGCGAGATTGAGGGTGACCATTCATCCGAGCCGACTATGCGGTCACCACGCGGCCAACCGCGCAGGATGCTACGTAGCGGTCCCTTCTCCCCGCGTATAAGCAGCTTTCGCACGTGGCGGAAAGCTGTGTCGCGTTCCAAACGTTCGCAACATTGACGGACGGCGCGTCTGAGCTGTGTCGGGGTCCACGGCTTGATAATTAGAGTGCTGTATGCAAGGGGAGTGGCGACTTCGTAGCAATGCTTGCTTGTGAGGGCGAGGTTGATGAAACTTTTCGGATTATCCAGGTCATAAAGAAAGTCGAAAATCTTGGTCAACAGCTCGTTGGAGAGGCTGTACAGCGGGCAGTGTCCAGCCATGCCTCTGTTCGGGCAGGTTCGCCAGATGAGTTGTGACCTTGTAGGAGTCAGATGAAGAAGGAAGAACAGGATATTTGAGGATTTTTTTGACACTTTGTGTGGTTTGCCTAAAGTTTATCTCGAACGCCACCGAAGCCACTGACACCACCAAAGCCACTGACACCACCGAAGCCACTGACACCACCGAAGCCACTGACACCACCGAAGCCACTGACACCACCAAAGCCACTGACACCACCAAAGCAATCACCTGTCCATCAGGCGAAACGTTACGGACCAAATCGTTCAAAACAGCCCGTATAGCTCAGTGGTAGAGCGCATCACTCGTAAGAAAAATTGACTTGATATGATGAGGTCCGCGGTTCAATCCCGCGTGGGGGCAGATCACTTATCTTTTGATTTTTTAACACTCTTTGAGTTTGTGAAGAATCTTCGCTCAGTCACCGTCAGCTTGTTTTTGTCGCAGCAAAAGCCAGGAAAGATGTGTAGCCGAGAGATACTTATTTGTCGTTTCGGTATCTCCCATCTGGGTGGGGCGTGCACTCGGACCGGTTCCAGTCCGTGTGGCCCGCGCACACGCCGGTAAACGTTTTTGGCCTGTCTCGAGCCGGAGCCCATCACGCAACAACATCCGACGGGAGTGTTCTCCTGGGAGCGGAGCAAGACAAGTGGATACAAAGTCGGCAGAGCTATCGAGCTACCGAGCTACCGAGCTACCGTTCGTTTCAACTTGCTAGTGCTGACCGGCAATGGAGCATGGAGAGTTCGATACGAACCTGGATTGTCATGTCTTGTCTGTGAATGCATCCGCGTCTCGGATTGCATTGGGAAAATATTGGCTGCCTGAAATCTTCCGCGCAATGCAACGCTTGGCCAATCAACCAATAGCACCACCTTTCGCAGCCAACGCTGTCGTCAGCTTTGGTTGACATTGTTTGATACCCGGAATTCAGAGATAAAGCGGCCGACAGTCTTGCTCAGAATAACGTTTTTGAACGAAAAAGTTTGTTGCATTCTCCCTCTTGACTGTTTGCGCCCAAACCTGGAACCATGTCTCAAATGCAAGTGATGTCATCGATCCATTCGTAGCAATGCCCCACTGCGGGTTATCAAGACACAGCTTTCGATTCAAAGCCTACCAATTGGCTCATCCTTTTCGGCATTGGGTCATCACGGTATCCAAGGCGATGGATCATCGATGAGAGAATCTTCACTCATACACTAAGTACGCCGTTGACACCGTTGATCTGGTCGTGGAGTCTAGAAGGCCACCGTCCCAACGCAACGACAATAACTCACAGTGGTCGGTCAACCTTTTCTTCAACGGCTTCAATGCTTGAGCTGCGCCGCTTGACACTTTTCCTCTGGCCAAAATTGAATTCCCCCGACCAATCATGAAGAGTCTGACAATGTCGAACACGGCCTTGATATTCGTACGCCCCCATGTCCCCCATGTCACCTCTCCCGCTGCCTCCCTTAACTCCCGATGCAAGTTGCGAGAATTTGAACTGCTTTTTCTCCTTTTTGCCCGTTGCGATTCAACGTCTAACGTTCGGCCAGGCCATACCACGCCGTCCGCTACATTCCGGCTTCAGGACCGGCTCTCACCATCTCTAAGTATTGCCAGCAATTGGCCACTGCCGAATTCGTCACCCATTTGACGTTCAGATTTGTGCCTGTTCAGCACCAGCGTATTTGAGCGCGACCAAACCTCCCACGCGACAGTTCTCGAGACGGCGAACCCTCCTGTCGCATCATTCCAATCGCCATCAGGGCGCCTCCCTCACCGATGAAGTCTCCGGCGACACCACTCTTATAACTATCCCCTCAATTTTAATACTCACGGCTCACCCACCTCACCCGCGGCCTTCCGCGGCCCTCCAGCCCTGAAAATGCTCATCTCCATGCCCAGCCCCCGACAGCTCCTCACCGTCGTCTCCGCTGCCCTTGCCAGTCTCCTCATCCTAAGCCTCATCATCCCCTCGAGCCGAGACACCGTCCGCGACATTGTCCGCGAAAAGCTCCCCAACGTCCCCGGCGTCAACAACAAACCCTCTGAAAAACAAGAACAACGTCCCAAATACAAACCAACACCAACATACACCCCCCCTCCCGTAAAAGAGAATTTCCCTCTGCTGGCAACCTCCACACCACCCCCGATCCCCAAATGGAACGTCCCACCCCCCGACCTCCACAAAGAATACGATCTCCCCGTCGCCCCTCCCCTCCTAATCGGCTTCACCCGCACCTGGCCCCTCCTCCAACAAGCCGTCGTCTCCTACATCACCGCCGGCTGGCCCCCCAGCCAAATCTACGTAGTCGAAAACACGGGCGTCCAACAATCCAACGTACGGGGTAAACTCTCCCTCCAAAACCCGTTTTATCTCAACCACGCCGCCCTCAAAAAACTCGGCGTCAACGTCGTCACCACCCCCACTTTATTATCATTCGCCCAAATGCAAAATTTCTTCTTGTCCCTAACCTACACCCACAAATGGCCTTATTATTTCTGGTCCCACATGGACGTCGTCGCCTACGCCTTTGAAGACGGCAAGCCCGGCCTGTCAGGGAAATACAATGAAAAAACCTACAAATCCCTCTACGAACTCGCGTTGGTCGCGCTGAAAGACGCAAGGGAAAACGACGACAGGTGGGGGATTAGATTTTTCGCGTATGATCACCTGGCGCTTGTCAACCCGGAAGCGTTTGAAGATGTCGGGGGGTGGGACACGCATATTCCGTATTATATGACGGATTGTGATATGCATAGCAAGTTGATCATGAGGAACTGGAGCCAGGAGAATGCCAAGGCGGGGATTATTACCGATGTGGCGAGCGCGCTGGCGGATTTGAGTGTGCTTTATAGACTTGAGGGGGGGCCGGAGCCGAGTTTTGTTGATCCGAATCCGCCGCCGCCGAAAAAGGAGGATAAGGAAGGGGGGAAGCAGAAGAGTAGGATTAAGAGGGTGTGTTATGGGGAGGAGGGGACCGGGCCGTTGCCGGCGGATAGTGAGAGGAGGAAGAGGGAGGAGGATCCGAATTGGAGAAAGTGGAGGAATTTGGTTATTACGGCTGATAAGCAGTATCGTAGGTTTCCCCCCCCTTTTTTTTTCCCCTTGTGATGGTTGCTTTCCCTTTGATTTTATCTAGTGGATGAGAAAGACTGACTTGGTGGGTTGAAAAACAGAACATAAACACGGCGACCGAGAGAGGAATACCTGGCAGCTGGGCCAGCAAGGTGGAAAGGGCGAGCCGTTTTACTACCCTGCTGCTGGGCTAGCGGAGGCGATTGAGTTGGTGACGGAAACCGGAAGAGAAGTGTTTAGGAGGAAGTGGGGGCATAGAGGGTGTGATTTGGTTTCGGGGGCGCATTTGAGTTATGATGATGCTTGGATGGTGGAGAAGGATTGGTAAAAATATATAATGATGGGTTGTGGGTTTTGGGTCACAATATATAGGAGTTGTTGTAGGATATATAGATAGACATGGTCGAAGGTTGGATATACCAGGCTGGTAATACAAAGTTTATGTTTCAGTCATTACGGTAATGTCTCTGCGGCTATGGACTGGGAAGAGGGGTGTCTCTGTCTGTTCAGATCCGCTGAAAGTGTCTTTATTAGTGCTTAGATTGTGTATACTAGTGTTTGTATGAGGTGCCTAAGGTGCTTGGATGGTGTCTTTAAAGGGACTGGATGGTCTAATCACGGTTTGGATGTTAGTTATACCTAGGTCTTTTATACCAGACATTCAGTGCAAGGAACTCCCAGGCTGACCAGTCTTAGGACACTGTCAGCGCGGGGGACGATGAAGCTTGAAGCCTTCAGTCAACCCTCTGCGACGCGGACCATCGACTCGCTAATATCATGAGTTAGCATTCCATGTTTTTTCTTGGTCAGTTCTTGGGCGTGTGTTCGAGTCAAATTGGCCCCAAGGTCATAAGCGGTGATTACTAGATGATGAGGCATCGTGACGAATCACACATCGCTCAAACTCCGCTCCATTTCATTACCCCTTCCCCATCGCCAGGACCGTTCACGATACCTTCTTACCTTTAATCTTTCTTAACCGTCCCTATCCACTCCTCAAGAAGATTCAAGATCCGAGGCCCCGATCATCGGACGTCCAACTCCCAAATCCGGTGTCAACGGGCAAGCGCGGCATCAGGGGACCCTTCGGGTTATAAGAGTGACGTCATTGCTTCGTCCGATCAAGGCCGGAAATGTGCAAAAGTCAAACCCTAGCTCTCTGCACCCCGCAATTTAGGACAAGTCCCTGATTTCCTTCACAGGATGCATTGACGGGAAGAATCGTCATTTCTATGCCATGTCCTTTGGGCATGTTGAGAAGCTGACGATGAGGGATTCGTAATCCCCACAAATGCAGTGGTGAATCTTTTGAGTGTGGCGCAAGCTTAGGCGGGCAGGGCTGATGAGAAATGCGGGGTAGCAGTGGTGAGACCCGTGCAGGAGGGTTGAGATGGCGAGGTTTTACATTTGGCTGAGGATTCCAGGTTTGTGAATGTACTGACCAGAGATGATGGACTCACCGCTGTTGGGGCGATTATCGCATTCGGATCGGGATGAGAGTGTGAGTGCTACAGTGGTGGTGGTTGGAGGTGGGCTTATTTTTAAGTGCGTCGATATTATGGTTGCTGCAGAAGCGGTTCTAGAGCTTCGTTCAGCTGAAGATTCGCTGCAGGCGTGGGTGGTTGCCGTGTTCTGGCCGCATTGCAGTTCGGGGGGGCTGAGGACGAACGGGCAGTACTTACTTCGTACCCAGACGGGCTCGAGATCGTGAAGAGGACGGTGAAATCGGAGGGGGTTACTGGAGTACAATGATCTGATCCAAGAAACTTGATATCCGCGTAATATTTGCATGTGATGTTCTCTCGTCTTCTCAGCCGGTGGAGAAGTCGGCTGGGATCACGGTGGGGGAACAGCGACAGGGCAGAAAACGGTGGGTGGGGTGGCCGAACGGAGAAGAGACCGAGTGCAAGATGGTGTTGTGAATACCTTCTAAAATCTGCAAAGAATCGAAGCTTAATGAACCTTCTCCATTGACATCGAGACGCTGTGCAGAGTAAAAGATAACATATGTGACCAAGAAGGAAGGCGCAGGCCCTCACTTACATGAGTTTAAGCACACATCAAGACACGGATGTCCGTTTCAGGAAGGACGGTGTCCTCCACGCGGCATGCAGATGGCCTCGTAGCACCAGCCAAGGCATTTCCAGCCGACTGTTGTCGTAATCGGGGTTGGCTCATGATCACTTAGTGTACATTAAGGCGGGTTAAGCATCAACATAAGCCCTACCTTAGAGCATCGCTTGAGCGATGAGATTTGGTGAAGCAGGCAGTCCCGTCGGTGTCAAATCATCAAGAT